TTTTTGAGAGTTTCATACCTCAACTATCACTCCCTTTTTATTAAAACACACCTCGATATTGAGTTGGCCTACAGGCGCATGTTGTCAATTGGGAACAAATGTTTGGCCAACTAAGCGTTGAGGTGTGTTTTCATACAAAGGGATTTGTAGTGATAGTTTAGGTAGGCAAAGAGAACAATGGATAGTTGAGGTACGGAACTCGTAAAAAAGTGATAGTGTAGGTGTGTTTTTGACCATTAACTCAAACTAAAATAAAGCTTTTTGGATTCAAATTTGCTTTCACTCAATGAGATTAATTCCAGACAGTGTAAGTTGGGAGTTGTGTAAACTTACACATCGGCGGAGACGATCTCTTCTTCCATATCTCCCAAAACGAGTAGAGGAACACTGAGTAGGATGAGTTGTGCTTGCAAGGAATCCAGTCAAGGCCCTTGGTGCCTTCCAGGCACAAGATAACGCACTACAGTCGAGTCTTCCACTCACATCTCCTTTCCAAGACTTACATATATTCACACATTCGATAGAAACTGCAAAATTGAAATTTTAACAAATTTACACATCATTCACGATAGCTCCAATATTCGGACGAGCAATTTTAGTAGATTTAGTGAACCTCCAGTTACAAAAAACCTCTAATTTTTCCTTGCAACACAAATTGTTTACCAGTGGAATGAAAACGAATGGAATAGATTTAACATAACTTATATAGCCTGAGCTCGACTAATTTACAATTAAGATGTACTATCCATTGATTAACACACCATTCACGCACAATGAAATGAAATTAATAAACAGTTCACCCATCATTCATATTAGCTCCACGAATAATCATAAGTAGATTTAGTAAACCTCCAGCCACTAGAAACCTCTTATTTGCCTTGCAACACAAATTATTTAGCGGTGGAATGAAATAGACTTACATAACTTAAATAGCCTGAGCTCAACTATTTCGCAATTAAGGTGTATGTATCAATTGATTGACAAATGTTCACACATCATTCATATTAGCTCCACAAGTATATTAGTAGAATTAGTGAACCTCCAGCTACTGTAAACTTCTAATTTGCCCTTGCAACACAAATTACTTAGCAGTGGAATGAAACAGACTTTCGAAAACCTAAATACACTGAACTCGACTAATTCGCTATTAAGGTTTATCTATCAATTGATTAACACGCCATTTTCGCACAATGAAATGAAATTAATAATCGCAGTGATTACCTGACATTGAAGTAGCAGAAGCCATATCTATTCAAAAGCATCGGTACACAGTAGAGAAGCAGAATTGAAAGCAGACGCTTAAGAAAAATCAAGCCAACCGGAACAAAAACTCGTTCGTCTGGAAATACAAAGATGCAGCAGATACATACACATATTCGGCCGGAGAGGGATGGTAAAATCACAGCGAGTGAAGAGGATCAAAAGATGATTAGCATTCAGAGCTGCTGCTGCGACGATTGCGGTCAGGGGAAAATTGTGGAATTCAGAGAAATTAGGGAGTAGGAGGATAAGCCAGTGGTGGAGAAAGCGAGCGAATATGAGAGAGAAACTGAGCCAACAAAATGGCAAGGAGATAATCTAGAGAGAGAGGGGGAGAGATATTTCAGTCACGGAATTTCACCCTAAGACCACACGATTAAAAAAAAATTTTGATAAAGATATTTTATTTTATTTTGGAAAAATAATCTAAACATCTTATTTTATTCTAATCTCTAAAATTTTGTAACATTTAAACAAAAATTCAAAAATTCTCTCGCATACGTAACTCTCCTCTCTGATATATCCCTCATTCTCTGATACATTCCTCCACTCTTGTATATATCCTCCTATTCCCTTTCCGGTACATCATTATCCAGTCTCTAATACCTTACTCCTCTCTTAGATACATCTCTCTCATTTATATCCGGATGTGTGCTGATGTATCCAGAAGTATTCAAAATTCATAAATTTTAACGAATTTTTGTAATTTAAAGAAGAATAGGAAAAAATGTAATTAGCTCTTGACACTATCGAATTTACGTAAATTATACTTTTTTCTCTTTTTTGGGCTTTGTGTATGAAGCGGATATATTTTAAGAATCCTAGTATTTTTATTTTTAATTGATAAAGATTATTAAAAAGGGGTAACTTATTAAAGATAGATTTTGCTATTATTTTACTAAATAATATTTTATTTTGATCTTTCCTAAATTCTAAATAGTGTCTTGATAGAATTAGAAATTAATGGTGTCTTTTTATTAGATTGAAATCTTGCTAGGTTAAAATATCCGCTACTATGTCGAACCATAAAATTCTGCAACTTCCTTAATAATATAACCTGCATGAGACAATAATAAATTCATAAGTTGATTGAGCATATTCTAATAACTAGTCTATAATATCCCTAACTTAAGTTGTGACTTCTTCGATGAGTTGTGACTTTTTTCAAAGGATTGTGATTTTTCGATGAGTTGTGACTTTTCCAATAAGTTGTGACTTTTTCAATAAGTTGTAACTTTTCCAAAGAGTTACGACTTTTTCAATAAGTTGTGACTTTTTCAAAGAGTTGTGACTTTTTCAAAGTGTTGTAACTTCTCGGAAAGGTCATGATCTTTCAGCTAAGACACAAAAAACTATCCTTTGTTGACTATAAATAGAGGACTTCCTCTCATTTTCCAACCAATTTTTTTTTTAATCTTCTACTCTTCCTCTTCTTGCATTTTAATTTTTTTTGTGTAATTTATTATCGTTTGAGTGAGTTTGAAGTTTAGCGGAATATGAGGTACCACTATTCTGATGAAGTAAGTATTTCTATCCTAAGAGGGTATATTCCATAACCTAGAGTACTTGAGGAAATGTATAATTTTGATGATATAATTAAATTTTTTTGCTTAATATACACATTAGTATGTAATGTTCCAATATATGAAGTTAACATGATGTAGTCTAAATGCATTTGTTTTTGTTAACAATTTCTCTTGTGATGTAGATATATGCTTCAGAATATTTTTTTTCAAAATTTAGAGAATTGTCACGATTTGTTTTTTATGTTCAAGACAAAATAATTACTTTACTTATCAATATTACTTATGTGATTTAGACTCCCAGGAAGTTTGCTTCAAAATATTACTATATAAACATTTCCCTTTTGTTTTATTTATTTACTATTTCTCAATATTTCAGTATTTTAGACGAAGAAAAGTTCATATTACTCGTAATAACGCCAATTGCAGTTTGTATTAGTTTAATTTTTATTATTTATTTAATAGCTTATTTTATGAGATAAATATTTTCACTAATGCAAATATATATTCATATTTGGGTAGATATTTGTATTTAAATTAAAGTATTATATATGTCACAAATGTATTATCAAGTTAACGAGATCTTCTAACTTGAAAATATATTATTTTAAAATGTTCCGAGTTCATTTTAAAGAAAAAAAACTCATAAAAAATGTGAAAATATGTGAATATGTGAAAATATGTGAATTTATAAAATGTAGTTGTTCTCTTCACATTTTCATATGACATCTAAATAATTTAACGTAGAATACACATGCAAAGCATATCAGGTTAGATGACAAGAAAAATACAAAACAAATATTGTCTATAAGGTAATATTAGTGAGATAAGACTAATTACATGATTGAACCTAATCAAATTGAAATAAATATATACATAATTGCATTTAACTAATAAAATTTTTACTGACCATATTCATAGGTTTGCGTGAATAAGAAATATATATGACAATCCATTGTGAACATTCACAAAAGAACCTGCAATAATATTTTTTGCTAAGCTTATTATTCAAATCTTCGCTTTAATAAGCAATACCATTTACCATAACATATATTTTTGAAATTGATAATCACGTGCAACACACGTGTCAGAAAACTAGTATCTCAAAAAAGCCAATTTCTATTTTTCTATAATAAAGAACTTTTGTTGTAGAAGCTCATAATAAATAAATAAAAAAGAATAAGAGCATATACTCTCTCTACTTGTGAATTTTCATAACTTTAACCAAATTATTAACAATTATACATTCATTTATTAATGTTTTATATTATGTTTGTATATTCACTCTGTATTCGAGAATATGATTTTAGTTTCTACATAATAATATATTTTTTACGTAGATGAATGAAAAATACATATTTTAGTAAATTAAAATGAATTGATCATATATCATAAAAAAATTAAATTAAAAGTAAAACTAATCAATAATTAAAGAACCAAAAATATTACTCCTCTTAGGTTGAGTTTTCATTAGACTAATGAATGGATTTCCTTTTATTTCACAATTAACAGAGTTATTTCTTTTTTTGATTTCCCATATTTAGTGTCCGATATTTATATTAGAATTTGACTAAATTTATATTTCCGCCGAAAAATCTCACATTGGGAGGTAAAGCATTGCCTTTATGGGCCTTGACAAATGACAACTATTGCTTTATGATCATGATATACATGAGAATTGATATTTCAAAGTCTACGTGACACAAATAAATCATGCTTTTACTAAAGCATGTGTGTCACACATGACACACGGGAGGAAATAATTGGCATCTCGAATATGTACACAATTTATTCTTGCATTTTACTCATATACGTAAACAAATTTGACCTTGTCAACAATGAACGCCATCATTCTAAGAATGATAAGTCCGTTTGCGTGAATTCATTCATATTGTCGATTTCAAGTTCAAATAAAGAAGAAGGATTATTGAAAATCATTTGAAAATTAAACAAAATTGCAAATATTTATTCATAAAATGAACAATATATATGTAATGCGGCATATTGGAATATTTTGGTACCTTATTTATAAACTATAATTTGTCCTTTCAAATTATCCGCCATTTAATTTTGTCCCATGTACGAGTAAAAATGTGTGATTGTAACATTGTGATTATCGCTCTAATTAAATGTGGATCGCAATTGGACCCGAACTCCCAACAGAAAATGTAAGAGTGCACACATTGCAGTTGGCTATACATGCTAAGTTTGCATCAATTGTCACAATGAAATACAAATTGGATCTAACTTTGTCTTCAAATAATAGGCTTAAAAATACACTTGTCCAACAAAATCAGTTACGTTAAGCATGCGTTTAAAGCATAAGAGCAAGTCAAAGAAAAAGATGTAAGCTGATGAGTCTGTTACATCAGACTTCCTATGGCTCTATACTGATCTCCTTGGAGAAATCTTGTGCTCCATATAGCCAAATTTCATAATGTGTACTCCATTTCACTTTCTTAACATGTCCATCCTTTTTCTCCTCTCGTAGGCAGCGCTTGGTCTACATTGCAGGAGGTGCACGTACACCATTCCTTTTTTCCGCTCAAACTATTGATATATTTATTTATTTATGTCTAGTCTGACACCTATTATATTAGTGAGTGCAATATTATTTCGCATTCACTGATTTAAAATCTTGAATTCGCCTATAACAGAAGGAAGAATGCCTTTAAGCACAAGGTACCAGATTAGCACTAGTAGTGCTCCCAAAAGCACTCTCCTTCTCCTGGTGATTGCAGCTATATCATTCAGGTACATGAGCTTCGTTCGATAGTTATCAATAACATTCACTGTTGAATCATCTTTGCCATCATAGCTCTGTTGGAAACTTGTTATAGCGACATCATTCTGTGTGCTTTCCAAATTGCACTTTTCTACAATACATAGTTCATCTTCTTTAATTTTGGTTCCTTTTTCCTCTTCTTTCATATTCTCTACTTTATGTTCCAATAGATGTTCCTGGTTTGAGTCAGCTGGCCAAATTTTGTCACTGTTGGATTGCTCATAGGAGTTTCTTGCTCCTTCCAAGATGTCATCTTCAACTTCCTGTGCATCATCATCTTTGTCTACGTCGTTGTCATTGTCATCAACATCTTCTTTTTCTTCATAAACAAAAACACTTTCTTCTATGTCATCCTTCATTTCTTTGCTATGCGCTTCCAGATCCTTCTCCACTACATCAATGTCCATAGATAGCCTCTTTGAGGCCTCATTTTCTTCGTCTAAAACATTTCCTTGACAATTTTGTTCGAAGCTATACTTCTGGATAGGGGAATGATCTGCTTCTGGGCTCTGCTCTCTACTTCCTGAAGGATCCATCACATTTGTTTCTTTTATCACTTCAGCAGAATGCTGATCATCTACCGAGGCATTTCTGATTTCAGAGGCTGCCAAATTTTGCGCGTCCATAATGTAAGTTCCGCAGTGGCTGATTTCTGATGTTGCCTCCTCATAGCAGGATTTTGCCTGATTATTCTCATTGGCACGCTCTTTTTCATCACTGAATTGGATTCGTACATCGCATTTCTTGGCAAATTGATCAATCTGAGTTTCTGCATTAGCACATTGTTCTTCAAAAAGCATAATCTGCATATGGCCTTTATCTTCATCTTCATAAGCTTCAGCAGAATGCTCATCATCTATCGAGGCATTTCTGATTGCAAAGGCGTCCAAATTTTCCACATCGATGCTGGATCTGTTTTCTGATGTTGCCTCCTCATAGCAGGAATTTGCTTGATCATTCTCCTTGGCACACTCCTCTTCATCACTGAATTGCATTCGTACGTCAGACTTCTTGGCAATTTGATCGATCTGAGTTTCTGCATCAGCACATTGTCCTTCATCAGCTGCTTTCATTAATTCAAAGGCAGAGTTGAGTGGTTCATGCTCATTAGAAATGCTGGTTTCTTGATCACCCGTGGCTTGTTTTTCTTGTTCTTGAATTAGACCCTCCTCAAGATTATCCGTCTCGATCACACCAGTATGTTGCAACTCATTTGATTCTCCTTTATCATTATGTACCAAGATTTCTCTTTTATAATCCATTTGCGCATCAGGATTGCTGAATATTGTCGCGTGAGCTTGATGCACACGCGATAGTACCTCAATCTTCTCATTTCCTTGGATTACATCAATTCTTACTCGAGAAACCTCATCCAGTTCCTGATCAGGATCAGGGAGCAACGAAATCTTGGTCTCTGATAACTCCAATCTTTCGAAAGATGGAGACTTTCCTTCTTCTTTTGGATGATCAGAGACTATAACATTGAGGGAATCATTGTGACATAACTTGTCAGTCACATTGCTGAAATTTAAAATCAATTGGACATAACATTAGTTGGAAATGAAGAACACACATTCAATCTCTCACAATCAATGCCAGTTTTCTTATGAGCAGGACATAATTGAAGCAAAAGACTGATATTATGGTTTAGCTGTTGTTGTTACACTTCAAGTATAAGTTTGTCAAAAGTTTCAAATTTTGGCAGAGCCAAAAAATACTTGCAATTTCTTCCCATCTGTCTAAACATCGATTTGGTAGACAGGATTAACTTGTGAAATACCAGGATCTGATGGAATAATTGAGATACACGCAAGTTGATTCAAATACCACCATCATTAAAAATAGTTTATCGGGAGTTTGGGCAGAAATAGAGAGAAAGCTACGACTCAAAACTCTGTATTTATGTTAATAAAATTCACTTCATAGGGAGTATAAATTTGTCAAAAGTTTCAAATTTAACAGAGGCAAAAAATATTGGTAATCCGTAGACAGAACTAACTGATATTTATATTGTATGTGATGCCACCATCCTAATGAATTTGATTCAACCATCACCATCATTACAAAAATAGTTTTTTCAGGTCTTTCTTAGGCTAATTAAAAACTTATATTCACCGGCGGAGCTATAGAGAAAGCTACAAGTCAAAACTCTATATTCATGTTTTTTTTATTTTTAAAATGACTCAAGTATACATTTAACTAACTTAGAATTCATTAACTCATAAATTCAAAATTCTGATTTCGCCGCTGATTGTATTACTAACCTGGAAGGTTGTTGTTGTTCAGGCAGAATAAAATGAAGCCCTTTATTACTTGATTCATCTTCAATCTTCTCATTCCCCTCTTTCTTTGTAACATTCTTAGTGGATTTCTTGTTTTTTCTTGAAATAAAAAATGCAGAACCCATAGCAGCAGCTGTTATTAATGCTCCACCAAACAAAATTACACAACCAATGCCACTCACATTTTTTGTTGTGCTAATTTTCATCATGAGTTTTTGATTCTCTAATTTATTTGTTTTTTTGTTGGATTTGGAGTACTCATCCATCATAATTTATCTAACACAAAGTTTGTTGCTTGCTCCAAAGTTTTTGGGAGTGAAAATTAAAGAAGAATGGGCTGTTAGGTGAGTTTCTCAAAAAGAGTGCATTTTTTTTCTTGGGATTATCAATTCTACAACAGCACTTTTGGTATGACTTTGGAATGAGATGTTACTACTGCTGATTTTGTGCTGAAATATTTCGTGTACTTTTTAAGTGATTTTTAGTTATTTTATTTCTAAATAAATTTATTTTACTTTTTAAGAGAGTTTTACCTCACCAAAAAATTATTAAAGAATGTTTTATATAATCAAGATAATACTATTTACTAAGGGTAAGTTAGTAAAAATATTTATGATTTTCTAGAATGAGTATGTTTTTAAAGGGGCGTGTCTAAGCTAAAAATATCACTTATTTAATTAGAAACTGAGGGGGTATTGAAATTAACTTTCTTTCTTATCTTTATTAAAATGATAGATAAGAAGATAGTGTTTTTGACTATTTTGATCCTCTTAAAAATTCGAACAAAAACTAATTTTCTTTTGACATGTAAACTCATAACATTAGCCCATCACAAGAAAAAGGTACACATGCTTTAAACAAACATTAATAAAGATAGTGTTTTGACTATTTTATCCTCTTAAAAATACAAACCAAAACTACTTTGTTTTTGACATGTGAACTCATAACATTAGCCCATCACAAGGAAAAGTTACACATGCTTTAAACACAACATTACTAAAGGACCTAATCTATTGTTGGCCACCTAAAGCTGATATTAATTTTCATTTACACACCTTAATTAAATTTTATTCATTTTAGAGATCTCATATTATATCATGTTGCGTCAGTTTGACACTTTTTGTTGATGTGACATACACGCCAAAAATTTATTTAATTATCTTTTATTTTATGTTTTCTTCTTCATCGCCATTTTTAAATCAACATCTCCCAAAAGTTAAACTCCCTTCCAGAGAGAAGTAGATTTGATGGTGGTAATTAGTTAAAAGAAAAACAACTACTATTATAATAAATCAAACTATAATTAATTATGCAAAAATATAGAACCAATAGAGAAAACAACTGGGGAAGATCGAACAAAATGAGTCTTGCGTGAGTGAAAAACTGACGGAAAAGATGATTTGGGTAGGGGAGGGAGGGGGTTCAGGGCTCAGGCTGTTTGTTATTCTTTTCTTTTTTTTTCTGAATTATTTGGGTTTTAAAATGAAACATGTCATTGAGTGATTGATCATTTTTTTTCCTACTCAAAATTCATTATTTAAAAATTATTTTCAATATATATATGTCACATGTCTTCATTTAATTCGTCATTTTGACACGTCATCAACGAGTGTGTTACACATATTTGATTGATTGTAAAAAAATTATCAAAATGATACAGCGAGGCATGACGTGAGGTGTCTAAAATAAACAATGCATAATTAAAATTTCTAAGTGAAAATAGGAGTCAACTTTAGATGTTTACGATGAATTCGACCTTAATAAAGATAGTGGGTTGATTATTTATCCTCTTAAAAAATGCAAACCAAAACCTTTTCTTTTTTTTTGAAATGTGAATTCGTAACATTAACCCATCACAAAGAAAAAGGACGATTAATATTTTGAGATATGTAACAACTATACGCGCGGACTCATTATTATTATTTTTAATTTAAAAAAATAAATTAGTTCCTTTACAAAATAATCTTGATCTTCCTCTCCACGTAATAATATTCATCACTATTGTTTGTCATAATTAAAAATATTATGAATTAAAATTGATCTTAAAATATATATTTTTACATGCGGGAACAAAAAATATTAATAACACAATTGAACCAACTTTAAAACAATCTTTCTATTTATTTTTTAATCATGACAAATATCAATTTGTCCTGAGTACCCCACAAATCCTCATTTATCAAAACCATCCTAATTAGTTGTGAAGATAAGTTAGAAAATAATCATACAAAACGTTAAAAAAAAAAAAAGATGAAGTATTCAAATTCAAATTGGATATACAAACTTGAGTTTGAGTAAAATGTTAAAATATATTTTTCTTCTACTTTCTAAACTGCACTAATATAAATATTTACTTTGTTTAAAGTTTATAAATATTCTAAATATTTACTTTTCTTTTAAATTTAGGATCTACGATGATTGCAAAAATAAATAAATTATGTACTTTTAGTTTAGTTAAGAATTTTATATCAATAGTATTCCAATGGCAACTAAATATGTACTATTTTACGTGTCAGTTTGTTTATCCTATTTTGATTTGATACAAAATTTTAAAAAGTAAAAAAAAAAAAGTTTAATTTTTATAATTTTAAATTAAAAATATGTCGAATATATTCAAGCCAACAACTAAACCTTTGGCACTAGTCCAATGGCCATAACATTTTGGTTGGTCTATTTCATCAAATTTGGTCCATCCATCTTGTACATTCTTTTAAGAATGTCCTTTAATGTTAATTTGCATTAAGTTTTTTGTATATACCATTTAAATTTTAACCTGTAAAAAGTTTTGACAAACATCATATAAGTAACTTCTCAAGTTTTGTATAGCCAACGTTCATGCGAAAAATTGTTGAATTCAATTATATATGCAGGACTTTCAAATAAAAATACCTAAACTTGACTTCAATCATATATGAAGCTTTGTCTGAAGTTTGTTCAGAAAGTGGAAAACATGTAAAATTAATAAACTTAGGGCATAACTTAAATAAAAGTGACATACAAAAAATAATTTTGGAGGTGAGTGATAATTGAACTTTTTACCTCATTTGTCCCATCAACAAAACTTTAAGTTAAACTAGTTTTCTCAATGATCATGGTTAAACCTTTTGACTTTAAACTATGAAGGTTTATCCATATGGCAATCACAGATCAAAAGTTCAAAATCACTCATTTTCAAAATTTTGGAATGTAATAGAGGCAAGTAACATATTTGATCGGTCGATCAAACAGAATTACATTCTCAAGACCAATATACAAAATATAAACTATTCTGACTTTTAAACTGTATAATTTATGTATAGCATAAAAATCATATCTTTATTGGCTATTATTTTAATGTGGGGCTATTTATGTCACTTCTCAATATATCATGCCCGCTTAGGATTTGGTGCTTGCCCACGAGCATGCTCCTTTGCCAATATTCTCATCAAATCATAAGTTTTCGAGATAGTCTGTTTGATCAAGTTTTTCGGAGATCAAATATTATTGTTTTTTTTTTTTAAATAAATTTTTTTTTCTTATATATAAAGGAGGTCTTTAGCCAAGCTTTTGGATGAAACTAATTATATATGTTGATTAGAAGAAATTATTTTTCAGAAGCTAAAAGAAAAAACTTTTTGCCTTAAAATACTTTTTTCTTTTTGAAATAAACACTTTTTAGAATAAGTTAATTTTAAAATTTTAAGGAAACATGCATTTTTTAATCTTGACAAAATTTATAAAGATTCTGTCTATATATACAATCTAATAACATCCTTTAATATAAGAGTTTCCGAAAGGATTTATAATAATCACAAGCTACAATTATAATTACTCATATATATTTATTCATTGGAAATCCTCATAAATTATCAAATAAAATTGAAGAAATTACATAATGTGCAAAATTTTGAATCTTCAATCTACACATGAGCTTCAAAATGACTATATATAATATATATAGAGAGAGAGAACATGGTAAGGAAACTTTATAATGTTTATACAACATCCCAAATTTAATAGGTTAGCTTCAAATATTTAACATCCAAATATATTAGTATATATATAAGGATTCCCAACTTGACTTTATAAGTTGAAGCTTTTACCAATGCTCAAATTCTTTGAGTCCCTTTGACAGATTTGTTCGTATAAAACCATATAACTCTTACAACAATTCGTTTGAATCTCCATTTTGAAAAGTATCACATAAAATTTGAAAGAGTATAATAATTCAACATATAATTACTCGTGTATATAATTAAAATCCATATAATAGTAAGTTGAAATGATCATTAAATAAGTTAGTGGTCCACCAAATCATTAAATCGTGCAACCCTCTAATGCTATGACATGACCTCCAATCAAATACGTGCACAACATCACCACAAAAATTTGATAATTTTTTTCTATATATTAAGCTTTGAGAAACAAAGCCTAAATCATCAATTAATCAAAAATCAAATACATTAATGGCTTCAAACAAAAATTTGCCAGTATTTTGCATTGTTTTGTCAATTGTAGCAGCTGCTACTATTGCTTCTGCAAATAGCAATTATGAAAATGGTTATTATGGTTATGAAAATGATGTCCCAAAAACATACAAGAAGGATGTGCATACAAAGGGATTAGTTCCAGAAGCAAATATTATTGCTGTTCAAGGAATGATTTATTGCAAATCTGGATCTAAACACATCCCACTTAAGGGTAAGTGATTAGTCACATTGCTACAAATTTCATCGATAATCCATTGTTATTTTACTCGTAGCTAACAGAAATTTGTTGCTAAAATTTCTAAAAAAGATTAGTGGCGGATTTTACTGTTTTGCAATAAATTTTTGTCTGTCACTAATTTTTTATTTATTTAAAAGTAGTATACGAAGAAATATTTTTTAAACTCACCCCCTTAAAAGAAAATATAAATTTCTCATATTTGGTTATTTATTTTTTATTTGGAAGAAAAAGTTTTGAACTTTATGAATTGAGTTTCTTTCTTTTTACTTGATAACATTCACATAAGAGTTTTGAGAGGTTATTTCTTTCGATATTTTATACTTTTAAAAAAAAATGATAGATTGCTCATTTCTATATGTAGATGTAGGTAATTAATTGATCGATCCACGTTAAATTATTGTCTCGTTTGATGTATTTTTCTTTTGTTATTTGATTTATCGTGTTTTAATATTTACTTTGTTAGTTTCCGCATGACGTAGATCTAGTTATTTTTATCAAAACATGTCTTTAATCTAACACTATTGTTTCATCTTGTAGTCTTAAACTAAGAATACGTATAATATAATGCACCAAATTAAAATGTCATTTGATCTCGTCAATGACGAAGCCGTTGAGGGGTGTTGAATGACCTTTGCCAGAAAATTACATTGTGTATCTAGAATAACAATATTTTTTTATGTATATATATTAAATATTGACACTCGACTTCTATGCGATTTTTCTTCTTTATATTTTGACACCTCTTAATCAAAATTCTCTCTTAGTCATAAACTAAAAATACATATAATGCACCAAAATGTCATTTGATCTCATATCTTAAACTAAAAATATGTATAATGCACGAAGAATGTCATTTGATATTCTCGTAGTCTTAAATATATCATGTAAAATGGTGAAAAATCACCAAATTAGGAAAGAAACATTCCTACAAATTGAAACAGATCAGGAAATAGCAATCTAGAAGATAACACAACACAAAAACATGTTACAATGAATTACATTACATCACATCACATCACATCACACTATCAGTACATATAAGTTAAATCATTTCATCCTTGTTACGTCTTGCAGGAGCCGTAGCAAGGATAACATGCCTTGGCACGGAAAAACACGGACACGAAACAGCTCCATTCTCCTTCTCAAGTTACCAATCGGACGCAAAAGGTTATTACTACGCAGTATTTTCACTAAACGAGCTCAAAGAGTATGATCAATCTTGCTCAATTACACAATGCAAAGCCTTCTTAGAAAGCTCTTCACTTGAAGAATGTGATGTACCAACTGATGAAAATAATGGTAAAGCAGGAGCTATTCTTACTTCTTATCGATTACTCAATGAATATGCTGAGAAGAAAATAGTATTGTACTCTGTCGCACCTTTTGTTTACACTTCAGAAGATGAAGGCGATGCTGATTACACTAAATCCAATTACTACAAACGTGAAGGGGGTTATTAGATCATTTTTTTTCTTTGTTTTTTTTTTATATTAATAATTTAACATCCATGAGATTTGACATTTTAATTTATGTTTTTGGTTGTAATTTGTAATTTTGATGATTTATTTGTATGCAAGAAAATGGGAGCATTATTTGACTTGAAGTTTGTGTTTTGATAATGAGGTTGATCCTTTTTCCTCTATGTTTCGAAAGATTGTGGAGTGGATTAGTTGAGTGACTATACTCTAAACGAGATCAATACTATCAAAAAGAGAGTAGCAAAAATCATAAGAGAAGAAAAGTTTACAGAAGGTTGGGAAATAGTACGCCTGACTCACCAGATAATACCATTGCACGGCCTAATCATACTAAAAAAAAGGATTTGATTATGGCTCAAAAGAAATGCTAGCTATATGCTTAAATAGAACATTGTTTTCGGAGAGCTGAGCAGAAGTAACTTTTATTCATACCAAATAAGTACCTATATTTTCCAACAGAAAAAATGACAAGCTTTTCACCTATAAATATAAAGTTAACAATTATTGGGGGAAAAAATGCAACATTCCGATGTGTGTGTTTTTACTTTAATTTTATCCCCTTTTTTATTTTTAATCTAATAAACACATACATACTAATTAAAAGAGGACAAATCCAACACAATTTTTCAATGGATCGAGAACTATGATTAATAGTAACTAGTAGTCCATAAAATTTCATTTCTTACCGTCTAACAAAATATAAGACTTTCCGATATTTGCTTCAGCTTATATCTATATTCTTTCATATTGGGTGTCTGATCCATAAATAGATAATTAAATTTGTATAAAGTTGAACAAGTAGATACAAATAATTATTTTTTTCGTATGTGATCGTCCGCGGCTGAATTTCAAAGAGTCCTTATTGTGTGAAATTGTGAATAATGTATTAACCTTAAACTGTGACTCCATAGTTCGTCAATGTTGTATAAAACCTTATTCGTGGTAACAAATTACTCATAAAACGTTATGATCCGTTAAATCTATTTGTTGTTAATTTTGCCCGTTAGATTTTACAAATAAAATAATTCCTAATACATTAATGTAAATTACGTTTACTCTAGTTTTGAAAAAATTCCAAAAAAACGTAGTATTATTTTAGTGAGTTAGTATAATAACGACTTACTAATTATGTAAAAAAACGTTGTAATCATAATTATGTGACTATTTATGAAATTTACCATTTATTTTTTCTTCATATATTGTCATTAATTAGAGGAAGCCAGACTGGCATACATAATTCAAAGCTTGCATCATTGCATGCATGCATATGATACATGTTTGACGACAGAAGTTCAAGTCAACCACTCAAAAATATTAGTATCAATCAAATAAGTTTACATAATACATTATGCCAAGTCCATAGGTTTTCAACAAATTAATGAAGCATAACATTAATTATATTTAAAAACTGATAATTTTAAGATCAAGACAATCTAACTGGGGTCATAATTGATATTTGTTTCGAGTAAACTATGTTGTAGTTGTTAATTAATTATGTATTAAGTATGCTTTTCTTTGACGTACTGCTCGAATTGAAGAAATTAATAGGAAGATGTTTGGTAAGTGAGAGAATTATGTGCTGGTATCACGTAAGACGTGTTTGATAAAAATGGCGAGACCTTTTTTGAAGGATTTGAATAACGAAATATGAAAAAATTGAAAAATATTTTCTTACATCCAGCACACCCTTATTAGTCGGTGATGCAGATGTGGTTAGACCTTAATTTGCATTTTGAAAATTCGTTTGGTCAATTAGGTTGCTGAATAAAGTCATATACTTAACAGTCATGTCAACATATATCCTTAGGTCAATTTTGACATAAGAAAATTAGATTTTTAATTGACTAAATAAGGATTATAGAAAATCAAATTTTTCTCCATCTAAATTGAGATTACTAAAGTTTTATGAATAGATAGTGGTTACATCAATTCGAGACATTATCATCCATGAGATTGTGATGGAATGAATATGATTCTTTTATTGTTAATAAAAAATCTTGAGTTCAAGTCTGAATATGAAAATAATCATGATACAAAATGCTTTTCTCTTAAATGAATTTTACGTATGTGACACAAATTTAAATTAGTCGAACTCGAATAATTAGCTGGCACAATATAATGTATTGTTACTATCACGGCATCGTCCAAATTGTCTGGTTAATTGCATTGATGAGTTGGATAAGATTAATTCTATAATTTTACCCTTGAATTTTAAAGTAAAGTAAGAAATAAAAAGGTAATCAAATGTTTTATCGGATGGTTGTTAATCTCAATATAAGAATCCCATGTTGAATTCAATATACTAAAATAATATTGAAATTCTGGTATAAATCAATCCTATAATTACTTAAAATGAAATAAAAATCCAATCACACGTGAAACAAATGATTCTAAATTTATATTTTCGTGAGATCATAATGAATATTTTATTATTATATAATACTTTATTTATATCGGAATTAATTTTCTGTCTTGAATTTTATATGTGGATATTTATATGTAGAATATTTTTGTCAATTTTGTCTAGCTTTATCCTTTGGATATCTATCTTAGCCCAACTTGTTCACCAAGTAAATTCAAATCAACGCTACACTCAGAATTTTTTATAGCGACAATATTTATTCGAAAATTTTATGATTGTACACTCAAACATTTTCTTCTTAAAAATTATACGATGAATGTAATTTTTAATACAATAAATTAAATAGTTAATAAAAAAAATACTACTCTCTCTATTCCTGAATACTCTAGATTTAGAATTAAGTTAGAGTTAGTCATTTTTGTCCCTTTTTAGTTATTGTCTTTCAATATGATTTAGTTTATTTTTTATGTTTGCACATCTATAATTGATATATTTTTAAATATTGTATTTTACGTTTTACTTGTGATTTATATTAAAAAGTATATTTAAGAGATTCATTATTATTATTATTATTTTAAAATTGTAAATATAATTTTGATTATATTTCTAATTATTGACACAATCAAACCGAATCGAAAAAATTCAAACCAGAAAGAGAAAAAACCAAACCAAATCAAATTTATTTTGATTCAAATCAGGTTACACTTCTTCAAAACTAAAAATAAAAAAACCCTGACGGACCAAACCGAAAAATCAAACACACATCATTAGTATAATGGACAACTATTATCTAACGATACGGAAGTAGTAGGGTACTAGGTACTAGTAGTAGTGTATAGATGTGAGAAGAATTCAAAGAACCCAAAGGAGAGAAAGGTACACGACACGAAATTTCAGCACATAGGACTGTAGGAGTTATCACCAACCCCCCTCCCTCCACACTACAAATACCTCTCAGCCCCCTCCCATTTCTCACTCACACCAAAACCAAAACCAAAACCAAAACCAAACTTCTCTCTTGTTATAATATATATAAAAAAAACTCGACCTTTGTACAAACCATTTTTCATATCTGTATCAATCTCTTTGTTTCTGCCATTTTGAGTAAAAGAGTTTAAATCACACTAAAATGTGTGGTGGTGCAATTCTTTATGATATTATTCCTCGTGACCGCCGTTTGTCATCCACCGACTTATGGCCAAGTTCTGCTGATTTCTGGCAAACTTCTTCTTTTTCCAAGCCAATTTCCACCCAAAATGTTCCTCCCAAGCCTAAACGAGCTCAACTCTCTAGAGGTAATTAATCAAACATAAAGCTTATACGTGTTTTGTTTTGTTAATTTTATTTTTATGCTCATTTAGGCATTTCTACAAACAGGTAGTGAGCAGATGAAGAAGAGGCAAAGGAAGAATCTTTACAGGGGAATCCGACAACGTCCATGGGGTAAATGGGCTGCTGAAATTCGTGACCCGAGAAAAGGGGTTAGGGTCTGGTTAGGTACTTTCAACACTGCTGAAGAAGCTGCAAGAGCTTATGATAGAGAAGCTCGTAAAATCAGGGGAAAGAAAGCTAAAGTTAATTTCCCCAATGAAGACGACGACCACTACTACAGTCATCCAGAGCCGCCTTGTGAATCTTATGATACTACTAGTACTTACAATCAAGAATCAAATAACTGTTACCCCTTCTACTCAATCGAAAATACTGAACCTGTTATGGAATTCGCAATTGCTAACAAAAATTCATCTGGGTCTGCTTATAATGGAATTGAAGATCAGAATGTGGAAGGAGAAGAGCAGACGGTGAAAAATTCAAATAACAGGATCGTAGAGGAAGAGGAAAAAACAGAGGATGAAGTGCAGATACTTTCTGATGAACTGATGGCTTATGAGTCATTGATGAAGTTCTATGAAATACCGTATGTTGACGGGCAATCAGTGGCGGCGACGGTGAATCCAGCGGCGGAGACCGCCGTGGGCGGTGGCTCGATGGAGCTTTGGAGTTTTGATGATGTTAGTCGTCTACAACCAAGTTATAATGTAGTTTGATTATTGTTTTGTTTAAATTGTTGCATCTTTTTATTTGTCGAATTAGGAGAATTGAGTTTTTGTAATTTTTAATCAATTGTGTGAAACTATGTTTTTAGTTCATTACTCTATTTACTTGGGTATTCATGTTTTGATATGCTTTATTTGATAAATGAGATTATACCAAATATGTTGATATAGAACATTATTCCGTTCATGTGCTTTGTTAGGGATTTTTTTCATATTCCGATCTCGAATCTAAGATCTCAATTCGAGACCTGTGATTGAGATGAAGCAATCTACTACTGCACTATCGATTAAGGATGAAGCAATCCGCTGCACTAGAAGTCACGTTGTAAAGGTATATAGTTGAAATCTCCTTCTGGAGAAAAAAGGTTTTAAGTAGAATTGTTGTAAAGATTTCAACCTTTCTAGTTTAATTTTGGAAAGAAAAATTCGAAGTTGTTTAAGTTGATCTCTAAAGTTAGTAGCAGTAACTTTTGCAGGAAAAATGACTAAAGAGAGGATCAAAATTGTTTTATTTTATTAGTTTTAAAGAAATACTAATTATTGATTTATTTCCTTGTTATTTTTTTTTAAAAAAAGTTCTAATAATCACTTGATGTCAATCAAAAAGATTATAATTTATAAGTAAATGAAGACCAGACAACGCGGAGTTGCAAAAATTTATTCAACTGATTGAAACCTTTTTGACCATAAAAAAGACTTCTAGAACTTTGTTTCTCGAAATTTCAGTTGAATCATCGTATAATCGAAGTAGCAAATCAATCGAAATTCCTCGTTGCAATTTTTAATCATTTGATGATATTTCTACTAATCACAAGCTTCTTTAGTAATAGTAATAATATATTAGATAGAAAGACCCATTAAAAGTTGCGAATACTTTTTTTGTCTACTTTTACTTGTCCACAGTACTATTTTGGAATATCTAAGTACCATATATTAATTGTCAAGTCAATAACAGACGAGGGAGTAATATTTTTATAATTAATTGTTCATTAATAATTAAATTATACTATTACTACTACTAATTAAACTCAGAATAGTAATTTTTTAATAAACTTTTCTAGAAAGAAAAAAATAATAAGCAAGTTGATTATGCAAAACAAAAATTGTCGTCATTCCTAAACACAGTGAAAACTTACGGCGCTACCGGTTTTGTTGTAAAACAAATGGCGCACCTCGTAATAGAATAGTAATTGCAAGTTGCAAAGCGTTGTGCGATTCTCATTCCTAACAAATCTACTTGTTGTCTTGCCTATGCCTAACAAAACATAATTTATCCTTAATGAAGTTGTAACTTTTTCTTTGTGATTTATTTTAAGTATAACTTAAATTTCATAGTTTTAAGAATTAATTATATTATTTTTCTATTTTTTTCAAATTATAAAAATTCCTTAAAATTTATGAATTATGGATACGTTACTGGACTTCCAGATACATCAACAAATATTCAAATACATAGGAGAGGGATGTATCATAAATGGGAGGAGGAATGTGAGGTGATAGGGGGAGTGATGTATCCGATAGGGGATTTTTGATTTTATGATAAAATAAGATGTGTATTTAGGTAATTTTTCCTTATTTTAAATCACAAATTTTAATATTTGTATTTAATAAAATATTATTACATAAATTTAGATAGAGTAATTATATTCAAGTTAAATTAAAAAAGGATATATGAAAAGATATTTAAGTGTTTCGAGAAAAAACTGTGATCCTAAAATTTACTCTTTTATCTTACTAAACTAGTTATTAGGTTCCCGCGCCAGCGCGGGCCCAATGTATATTACTTCGTCCGTCTCATTTTATGTGAGGTAGTTTGATTCGCCACGGAGTTTAAAAAAGAAATGAAGACTTTTAAAATTTGTGGTCCAAAATGAATGATATAAATTTGTATGACTGTAAATTATTTCATTAGGGGTAAAATAAATATTTTATAATCAAATTGTTACTTAATATAGAAATGTGACATTCTTTTGGGACTGACTAAAAAGGAAAGTAAATAACATAAATTGGGAGTAGTTCTTTGTTTCAATTTATGTGACACCGATGAAATTTGGAGAGTTATATAATTTTTTGTATGTGATTTTGTTAAATATATTTTGAAGTTGTTAATTTATTGTGATTTATAGCACTTCTTATATCATTTTCAAATAATATATATTACTCTTTCTGTTCCATTTTATGTGACGTAGGTACTTTTACGAAAGTCAACTAAATTTCTTATATGATTCTTCACTATTTTTAGTTGTTATTTTACTTTAATTTGCGTTAGTTTTTATGTTATTTTCAAACAAACTTCTTTTTGTTTCAATTATTGAATTAAAGAGTCAATAAAATTTCTTTTATGTATTTTTTAATTATGTTTTTTTAATATCTTATATTATTACATTGTGATTTTAAGTACCTTTTATGTAATTTTTAAATCTAGAACAAATTAAAAGAAAACAAGGAAAATTTAAATGAAGAAAGTACTAAAATTTTCAAATAATCATATTTCTATATTAAAATGTTAAAAACTTTAAAACTCCACATATATGCAGAAAATCATATACGGAAGACAAAATAATTTTTAAATATATATTAAAGCTCTTTTTAATAATATCACATATTTATTCTATTTTTCAAATAATATATATTTCTCACTCAATCTCAATTACGCAGTACATATGAAATTTCGAGAGTTAATCAAATTCTTAGTACTATTTTAAACTATATTTTAGTACTATTTATATAATTTTCAAATAATATATGTTACTACTCTATTATATTATGCAATACATGTGAAATTTCAAGAATTAACCAAAATTTTAATATTTTAAATTGATTTTTAGTACTATTTTTGTAGTAAATAGAGGAAGTTGAAGAAGAAGGGCAAATCGGTCAATTGACTGACTAACCCTAAGCTCCTAAACATTCTCACTTCTAAATGGAAGCACGGGCACAATATCCGTTAAATTGTTAATTATTATGATTTATAATATTTTTTACATTATTTTCAAATAATATATGTTATGTATTTTTAAATACTTTAAGTTGTGATTAATAATATTCTTAACGTAATTTCAAATAATATATGTTACTCCATTTGTCCCAATTTATGTGACACATGTGAAATTTTGAGAGTTAATATGTTTTTCAAATATTGTAAGTTGTTAACTATTGTGGTTTATGGTATTCTTAATGTAATTTTTCAAATAATATATGTTATTCCCTTCGTCTTAATTATACAATTCGCGTAAAATTTTGAGAGTTAATCGAATTTGTAATATTTTAAATTTATTTTTTAGTACTATTTAAAAAGGAAAAAATTAAAATATAATGAAAGAGGAGTGTATAAAAGTAGGTGGGCCATATTTGTGATAGGTGGGCCATCTTCAAAAACCAAATATAAAAGTAGGTGGGCCATCTTGGTGCCACGTGTCGAAAGAAGAGTGAATTTTATTCACTCTTCTTATATAGTAAAATA